AATTGATGGGAAAAAAATATATGGGGGAACTAAGGAAGGTAAGGTTTAGCTTAGCAGTTTTCCTGGGTAGATTCCTCTGGGTGCTTTCTCTGGGTTGGAGGACTGCTATTTTAGGTCACTAGGTTTGCTTCTTATTTTTTTGTAAGAGGATGATTCGTAGAGTAAAAGAGTTTAATTTTATAAAACCTGTTTATTTTTTCCTTTCATTTTTGTGGTATTGGAGACTGAACCCAGGGCTTCTCTACCACTGAGCTACATTTGTAGTCCTTTTAAATTTTTTTGTAATTTTGAGACAGAGTCTGGTTAAATTGCTGAGGCTGGGGCTGGGGATATAGCTCAGTTGGCAGAGTGCTTGCCTCGTATACACAAGGCCCTGGGTTCAATCCCTAGCACCACAAAAAACAAAAATGTAAATTGCTGAGGCTGGCCATCCTCATTCCTCAGCCTCCCGAGGAGCTGGGATTAAAGGCATATACCTTGATGCTCAGCTTGTGTGTTTCTGGGTCTGTGTATGTGTGTAGAGAAATCTTTGCCAAACTTAAGGTCATTAAGGTTCTCTCCTATGGTTGATCCTGTATATAGTATAAAGTTAACTCTTTTATGTCTTGGATCTGTTTCTGAGCAGCGTCTTGAAGATAAGCAGCTTGGTAAAGAAGCAAGAGCAGGCTTCCTCCACCCCATCACAGGCCCAGAGGCTAGTAGGCCTTCCTCTGAGACCAGCACAAGCCAGTGTGAGGGAGCCAGTGGGCTGGGTGGGCCAGGATACAGAGCCTGCTCTGCCTCTTGGGGTGGTGGGAACTATGGAGAATGTTGACTAGAGGAGTGGCCCAGTGACCTGGCGCCTTATCTGCAAACCCAGGGGGCAAGGAGTCAAGGGGAGAAGAAGTGGAAAGGTATCCTGCCAGAGATGCCCCTTCCCCCCAGCTCTCTCAGGAGGGGCCCTGTGCCAGGTGCCAGCTAGCTGTGGCCCTCTCTTGTCACACTGTTTCGGGGAGCTCTTCTACTAGGAACGTCCATCTCTTGTCCCTTATGTGTGTGGCGAGCGCCTTATCTGCCTGGGGTTGGGTGCCTTGCCCTTCAGTCCAGGGGCATTTTCTCTAGGATTTGGGCGCATCTGCCTGGCTGAGCTACCTCTCCTTCCCTTTAGGCTGCAGACCATCACTGGGGTCCCTGACTGGCGGATCTGCATGGGTCAGGACACCCCCTGTGAGGTCCCCTGCTTGAGACTACCCTGCAATATAGCTGGTGTGGTGGTCCATGCCGGTAATCCCAGGGAGGCTGAGGTAGGAGGATCATGAGTCCAAAGCCAGCCTCGGCTTAGCGAGACTCTGTCTCAAAATAAAGAGGACTGGGGTGGGGCTGGGGTTGTGGCTCATCGGTGGCGCACTTGCCTGGCATGTGTGAGGCACCGAGTTCGATTCTCAGCACCACATATAAATAAGTAAATAACGTCTATCAACAACTAAAAAATTATTTAAAACAAAACAGGGCTGGGGATGTGGCTCAGGGGTTAAGCACCCTGGGGTTTAAACCCCGGTACAAAAAAAAAGAAGAGATTGAGAGACTCTCCAGGCAAGGGTCCCATTCTCCTTATGGTCACCCAGCTGGGGACAAGGACCGCTCCCGGGTCCCCGCCACATCCCGTCCGCAGCTGCGCCACGTCCCTGTTTTCCGGGCGCTGCGCCCGCCCTCCCTCAGCCCAAACCACTTCTGTTTCCCGGGGCGCCTCGCGGTGCTGAGTCGAGGTTTCCGCGGAGCCGGCAGCTGCGATTCTGCTGTGTCACGGTTGGGAGGGGGACGGAGACAAAGGGGGCAGATTTTGCTGAGTCACGGCTGCTTTCCGGCCTCTCTCCGGGTGGTTGGTGAAAGGGCAACCTTAGCTGTCAGCACGAGGAAGCGAAACTTCCAGAAGCCAGCAGAAAACTCTTGTTTATCTCTGGATCTGTACACGTCTGCACAGCCGGGCGCACGTCTCTCCAAGCCGAGGGGGGGGCACTACTAGGCTTCCCAGCACGTCGATGGCAGTAACCTGGAACTCCCTCTTCCCGGTGGCTTGGGGCAAAAATGTTGGAGTCCTTCTTGACTCCTCTTGTCTCTTTCATGGTTCCCTTTCTTCTGAAATTCTGTAAGATGTGTATGAATATGTGCCAACAGACACAGGCTCCGGGTACCAGGCTTGGGCTCCTTCCACCGTGGATAGCCCATCCCCTGGGGCTGGTAAGGATGAGATGAGGGGCTGGGCGTGCAGCTCAGTGGTACAGCATGTGCTGTACTTGCAGGGGACCTGGGTTACATCTCCAGTGCACACGCACGCGCGCGCACACACACACACACACACACACACACACTGCTATGGAAAGCTTGGTCCTTCTCCCCGGTGCCAATCCAATAACCAGGACATAGTTTTGAGAAAAAAGAAAAACAAGTTTTATGGCTTTGCTAGCAAAGGAGAAGCACGGGGGACTCCTGTCCCAGAGTCTGTGATTCTGCCCATCAGTAGGAACAGGGGACTTTTAAAGAGAGACTCAAAGGTGACATTCCGCGTGTTCTCTGTAGAAGTTGTCATTCACTTGTTAACATGGGAGAGAGTCATTTCTGAGAACCTCTGGTCCCATCCACAAACTCTGCATTACTTCTTTGGGTGGGTGTGAGCTCAAGGACAGATCAATCTGCCTAAAATGGGGAAGAAAGGTGACCCAATTTCCCCTGAGATTAGGGAGTGGAGAGATTAGGGAGGAGCAGGGAGAGAGGGAGGGAAAGAAACATTTCCTTTTTGTGTGTGTGTGGTGCTGGGGATTGAACCCGGGGCCTTATGCATGCGAGGCAAGCCCTCTACCAATTGAGCTGTATCCCCAGCCCAACATGTCCATTTTTAAAATAAGTCATAGTGACCGAGCAGCAAGGGCTGTACTCAAAGCACAGAGTGGACACTGTTACAGAAGGATCCACAGAGACATGCTTGGGGGAGTGCCTGGCTGAGGGCAGCCCTCAAATGCGAAGTCTTTCCAATTTCTGCACACATGCAGCCCTCTTCGGTTCCCGTGCCCCTCCCTGGGTCATTTCCCGGATTTCCTCCATTAGGATCCTGAGCACACGTGGACTCTGTGGTTTTTGGCCACAGAAGACTATGACAAGAGAGGGCTGAGAGGAGGCTGCGGGTTTCCTAACAGCAAAGCTCCAGGGTGGGAACAACAGACCTCATGCTAGGAGATATATGGGGGTGCAGCAGGGCCCCCAGGGCCTCTACCCATGCTTTCCCAGCTTCCCAAAGCTGAGCATCTGCCCTGGTTTTGGCAAGGCAGGTGTTGAGTGGGGTCTGTCACGCCACAGCGTTGTAGCTCAAAACAGCACAAACTTATTGTCTGGGATGCTTGAGGTCAAAAGTCCTTGGGTGGTGGGGCAGGGCAGGCCCCTGCTGGAGCTCCAGGGAAGAACGTACCCCCTGGCTGGGAGCAGCTTTCAGAAGCCCCCAGCCTCCATCTGGTCCGCAGAGCTGGGTGCCCAGCACCTCCAATCTCTTAGTGTCCCTCTGCCTCCTTTGTCGAATCACCTCCTGCCGCTGGAGCCATCTAGACTCACTCTTGTGACATCAGGCCCAGGAGGACAGTCCAGGATAATCTCCCATCTCAAGATCCTTGACTTCACCCCATCCTCAAAGTCCTTTGTCACATAGACAACCTATTTGCAGGTCCTGGGGATGTGGGCATCTCTGGGGGTCTTGTTGGCCTCCAGCTGCTGGGAGAAGGGCACTTGGTTCATTGCGTTGCCAGAGGAAAGGGAAGGGGAAGTCAGGAAGCTGAGTCAGCGCTGGGCAAGGTTCAGGAGCTCAGAACTATGACATAGGCCTGCGCCAGCACTGCCCTGGGCCGCCTCGGCTCCAGCGTTCTCTGTGTGGTCTCTGTTCTAGCAAAGTCTGGGGGCTCCCAGGGAATAAACTGGGGCCAGGAGCCAGGCACCCTGGGTCACTGAAGACTCCATCCCCAAATTAGGGCACAGCCTGTGGCCTTCCTGCATGGGGCCCCTGCTCCCCAGGTACTTAATAAGATGAACTTGACCTTCTGGGGTCCCTGAGTTGACAGGCCTGGACCTGCAAATGGCCAGCTTTCAAACCTCTTCCCTCTTCTGCCTAAATCCTGGACCCTCTGTGAGAGGGTCTGGACTCTGGGACAGGAGGGTACAGTCTGGCTTCTAACTGCTATAATCCTGGCTCTGCCACCCCTGGCTGTGTGACATAGGAACATTATTAAACTGTCTGTGCCATGGAGCTTACATGGACAAAAAGAGATGAAACGGTGATGGCACATATCTGGGGTGTGGCTGCTCTCAGGATTAGATGTGGGGGTGCGTAGTCTGGGTTCTGCAGCGGGAAGCATTCCATAGCTCCTGGCTGGGTCACAGCGGGTAACTGTAGCTTGGGGTGGTCCTTCCTGACAGCCCAGCAATGTTACAGCCATTTATTTGCCATCTTGTTATGGAAAGCTTGGTCCTTGTCCCTGATGCCAATCCAATAGAGAGGTTTTGAGAAAAAGAAAAAGGTATATTGCTCTGCTACAGGGGACTCCTGTCCCAGAGGCTGCGATTCTGCCCATCAGTAGGAACAGGGGGCTATTAAAGCCAGATTCAAAGGCGACATTCCACGCGGCCTCTGTTGGAGTGGTCATTCACTTTTCATCTGGGAGGTGGGCATTTCTGAGAGTCTGGATTACTTCTTTGCAGGTGGGTGTGAGCTCAAGGACAGATCAATCTGCCTGAACTGGGAAGAAGGGTGGGTAATCCAGTGTCTCCCAGATTGGGGAGGGCAGAGATTAGGGAGGGGCGCTGGGGCCGCGCTTTGTTTCCCGGGTCACATGACCGCCGCCCCCAACTCCCTGCCGGCCGGGGGCCAGGGGCGGGCGGCGGGTGTCGCAACGCCCTGGGCCTCCGCTGGGCGCCGCCCACGTGACTCCTGAGCATAAAAGGCCGCGGCCCGCGCCTCGCAGTCACAGCCGCTGCTTGCTCCTCCGCAGAGCCCCCGTCAGCCAGAGCCCCCGCCAGCCAGAGCCACCGCCAGCCAGAGCCACCGCGCCAGCCAGCCCGCCCGAGCCATGGACCGCCCGCAGAGCGACAGGCAAGTGCAGCCCGGGACGCGGGGACCCGGGGGACGGGGCGAGTGCGCGGGACCGGGAACAACGGCGCAACCTCGGGGACAGCGAGGGCCGGTAGCCCGGGTGCGCCGCCAGGGGAGCGGAGCCGGGGCAGCTGGAGGCACACGAGGCGATTGACAGGCGGCCCGTCCCCGCGGCGAGCCGAGCGGGGTGTCCCCGGGCGCGCCCGCTGTCGGGGAGCAGCTTCCCAGGTGCAGCGGGAGGCTCTGCCTGCGCTCATCCCCGCGGCTCCCGGGCCGCCGGACAGTGTCGCCTTTTGGGAGCGCAGCCGCAAGGACTAGAGCGCTACATCACCTGGCCTGTGGCTGGGCAGCTCGCAGGTGTCGGGGCTGGGACTGGAACCCCGATGTTCCAGCTCCCGAGGCTGCCACGTTCCCTTCTCGGCTTGTGTGGGGGGCTGCGGAAGAGAAGCGACTTCTTGACAATGGGGAGGTCACATGGCAGAAGTGCTCCCAGAGTTTCTGTTGTTTGGTACAGGCACTGAGCCACATCCCCAGCCCTTTTTATATTTAGAGACAGTTTCCTTAGTTTGCTGAGGCTGGCTTCCAACTTGTAATCCTCCTGCCTCAGCCTCCAGAGCCATTGGGATTACAGGCCGGCGCCCAACAGTAAGGGACTTTCGAGTAAAGCAGAATTTCTCTGGCTTTTTAATTTAGAGATATTGAACCTAACGTTATGGGGTGTCAACTGAGATTTGTGGGTCTTTTTTTTTTAATTTTTTAGTGTTTATTTTTTAGTTCTCGGCGGACACAACATCTTTGTATGTGGTGCTGAGGATCGAACCCTGGCTGCAGCATGCCAGGCGAGCGCGCTACTGCTTGAGCCACATCCCCAGCCCCTCATCTGAGATTTGTATTTGGAACTTTGGCTGAAGAAATGAATTAAATATTAGGCCTAAAAAAAATGAGCGTTCAATGCAACCAGGCACAGTGGCACATGCCGTGATCCCAGCTGCTCTGGAGGCTGAGGCAGGAGGATACCAAGTCCAAATCCAGCCTCAGCAATTTAGCAGGCCCTAGGCAATTCAGCTAGACCCTGTCTGTAAATGAAACAAACAGGGCTGGGGGTGTGGCTCAGTGGTGAAGGGCTCCTGGGTCCCATCCCTAGGACCTAAGGTCAGTCAAGTTCAAGTGCTCCCACTGGCCAGCTCCCACTCACCCCTCTCCTTCATGGGGAGCAACTGGGGACAGGAATTGCCCCCTTGTTTGGGGGACTGTATTACATAGTGCTTTCATGACGACGGAGTGTTGGCAGGGCTGGGATGGTGGCCTGTCATCGGCAGGCTGTGCAAACTCTACAGATCCGTGGGAGAAGCCCTGAGGACAGCGGGTGGCACTCTGCAGCTCAGGGGCCAGCTAGAGGACCCACCCCAGCCACCCTTGATTTACCCTCCCTCCCTCCACAGCTTGCCCCAGGATCTGTCCGAGGCCTTGAAGGAGGCCACCAAGGAGGTGCACGCCCAGGCAGAGAATGCCGAGTTCATGAGGAACTTCCAGAGGGGCCAGGTGACCCGGAAGGGCTTCAAGGTATGTGTGTCCTGGTGGGAACAGGCATGTGGAGGGTGGGGCAGGTGTTTCCCGGCTCCAGCCAGTGGGGATGAGGGCCAGAGATGCTTGTCCAAGGAAGTCATTTTCCTAATGACACTGAGGCTCAGACAAGAGAAGTGACCTCCTTTGAGGTCACACAGCAAGTTTTTATACATATGAACCTCAGTCCTGATGAAGATGAGGAAAGTCTCAGGGAGGTTAAGTAACTAAAAGATGGTCACACAGCTGTGGAAAAGGACAAAATCAAAGCAAAAGTGATCTCATTTCAGATCTGGTGCTCCTGCCCTAATTCTAATGGAAGACCAGGGGTAGTGTGGTCCTTGGCAGGACCATTTCACAGTGGAACTGTGGCATCTCCTAACATCCCAAGCCACTTTTCCTCATCTGTTAAATGGCATTTCAACAGCAAGAGTTGGCATTTCAACACCCAGTTGGTAGAATGTGGCTGATGGCTGTGGGGGATGGAGGTGACTGCTGGAATAGGCCATCCCCAGCCACTGTGGACTTTGGATTGTGCCTATAAGTCAGTTCAAAGTGGATACTGGAACTGTGAGGGGACCCAGTGCTTGTGTCCATTATGCTGTGGGGGTGGTGCTTAGCCCTAGACTGATAGGAGTGCTAAGTACCAGGCTGCTAAGTACCCTGCCTGAACCATCTCCCTTAACCCTAACCCCTCCTGCAGTGTGTAGTGATTCTCCCCTTTGGCATGGGAGGGAACAGGTTTGACCTGTAGAGTCCCATAGACCCTGAATCATTTCCTGCCCTAGAGTTAGGAAGCTGAGGCCAGAGAGGGCTAGTGACTCCCCCGTGGTCACACAGCTGAAGACTGGCTGAGCTGAAGGAAGAGCCAGGTGTCATAATGGAAAGCCCCAAATGCTCCATACCAGGCTTCCTGGCTTTTTCTTCCTTCACAAGGAAGACAATTCTGTCAATGTCTATGGCTGAGAAGTAACTTGGACATTGTAACTTTGTCCTCATGGGACTCAACCTGGAGTATTAATGTGTAACAGGAGTTCCAGGGCTGCACTGGAGTTGATTTCATTTCTTACTTGTCATGCAATCTCAAGCCTTAAAATGGGAATAGGAACTGGCTTTGGGGTTTTTATAAGAAACTAGCTGGGCCCGTGGCACATGCCTATCATCCCAGTTACTCTGGAACCGAGGCAGAGACTCACAAGTTGAGGTCAGCCTTAGCGGGATTCTGTTTTAGGTGGAGAAAGTGCAGGTCAGGTTTTGCTCTCCTGAAACCCCTCTGGCTGCTGTGGGGGGACTGGGCGCTGCGGGAGGTGGAGCAGGGAGGTGGAGCAGGGCCTGGACGGCAGGGTCTTCGCAGCCTGACCTGCCGCCCGTTTCAGCTGGTGATGGCGTCCCTGTACCACGTCTACGTGGCCCTGGAGGAGGAGATCGAGCGCAACAAGGACAACCCTGTCTTCGCCCCGCTCTACTTCCCTGAGGAGCTGCACCGCAGGGCGGCGCTGGAGCAGGACATGGCCTTCTGGTACGGGCCGAGCTGGCAGGAGGCCGTCCCCTACACGGCAGCCACACGCCGCTACGTGGATCGGCTCCAGCAGGTGGGGCGCAGGGAGCCCGAGCTGCTGGTGGCCCACGCCTACACCCGCTACCTGGGCGACCTGTCGGGCGGCCAGGTCCTCAAGAAGATCGCGCAGAAGGCCCTGGACCTGCCCAGCTCCGGAGAGGGCCTGGCCTTCTTCACCTTCCCCAACATCGACAGCGCCACCAAGTTCAAGCAGCTCTACCGCTCCCGCATGAACACTCTGGAGATGACCCCCGAGGTCAGGCAGAGGGTCACCGAAGAGGCCAAGACCGCGTTCCTGCTCAACATTCAGGTGAGGGGCTGGCACCCCTGGGTGGCCACTGCCTCCTCCAGTGACCCTGTCTCATGGGGGAGAGGATGCTCTTGAGTTACGGCTGTGTGCAGGGACTTAGGACCGGGTTCCATTTCTGCCACTTACTAGCTGGGTAATTCTGGGCAAATCGCTTGATCTCTCTGTTCCTCAGTTTCCCTGTCTGCCAACTAGGGTAACAGTAGCACCGAGGTCATGGGTTTAAGTGAGTATAGGTGACATGTGACATTCCTGCAGCTGTGCCAGACACAGGGAAGCCCTCTGTTAGCTACTGTCATCACGGGTGTGACAGTCACAGTGGAGGTACCCGGTGGCATCATCTAAGGTGTGCATGCACTTGTGTGTGGCCAGGTTGGCCCTGCAAAGGTGACAATTGCTGAAGCTAAGGATATTTTGTAACTGCCTCAAATCCAAGGGAAAGACTAGGGGTTGGACCCAGCTCTGGAACAATGATCCTGGGTGAAGCTGGGGGGCTGGGGTTCACTGCCAGTGGTGCCCTGTGCTATTGCCAACCCCACCACCTGGAGGCATGTTGGCAAGGCTCTCAGGATGGGCTCAAGTGCCCCTCCTTTACACCCTCCTCCTAGAAAGTCTGTTTTTCAGAGAGGTGTCCATGAAGAGGACAGGACACCCATTGGCTGGCTCTCCATCCTGGTTTTCCTGATTTCTCTGTATCCTGATCCTTCATCCTGATTTCTGCAACCTAATTCTTCATCCTGATCTCTGCGTCCTGATTCTTCATCCTGACCTTTACATCCTGACCCTTCATCCTGACCTTTACATCCATACTGATCCTCCATCCTGATCTCTGCTTCCTGATTCTTCATCCTGATCTCTATGATATTGTATCCTGATCCCCCATCCTGACCTTGCATCCTGGTCCTTCATCCTGACTTCTGCAACCTGATCCTCCAGGAACTGCAGATAACTTCTCTGCCAAATGAACACCCTAAAATACCCCTTTCTTAAGAGGGAGCTTCAAATATAGTCATGTGAAGAAGGCAGGCTGCAAAAGAACACATGCATTGGGATTCCACTGTTAGGGACACTGAAAAGGAATGCCACATCTCCCTGAGCGGCCTTTCTCTTGTCTTCCAGCTGTTTGAGGAGTTGCAGGAGCTGCTGAAGCAGGACCCCGAGGACCAGCACCCCTCACAGGCAGCAGGCCTTCGCCACCGTGCCAGCAGCCGGCTGCAAGGTGAGGGCTTCCTGGGCTCCCTTTGAGAGGGCCGAACTGCTGGGGTCCTGCCCTAGCGGGGTCCAGGAGGTCCTGAAGTTGGCTTCGGCGAAAAGGATGAGACAGGAGTCTTCAGTTTATGTTTTTCCAGGATGTGACCTTTAGTTAATTAACTAATGCCAAACTACATAACCAGACTCTATGTCTCCTAACCTATCACTAACCTTATATTTCTAACATAAAAATCTCTTAAAGCTGCTTAATTCCTACACTTTTTCTCAACTGCTTTCTCAGTTGTTTCTTGGTTTCTTAGTCAAGGTGACATGTCTTAACATAACTTTCCTTAATCATACGGTGGGCTTTGTGCAAGAAGCCTAATGATTAGGCTTTGTAATAGGCTGGAAATAGGGGCCTGGGTCTTAAGTTGATATAATCAATGTGGAGACCTTTCTGAGAATGATTGTCCATAATCAGTTTTGTCCTCAATGTACTGAGGTAGAGGAGCATAGAACAGCCTTCAGTAAATATATTTACTACCTGTTGTAGCCACCTGAAGTTTGGTTTGGCATTCAACACTCCTGTTAGGAACATGAGCATGCTTTGCCAGCTTTCATCCTCATAGTGACCTTGTCAAACAGTGGGACAGGGAGTGCATGCCATGCCTGTTGGTCTGAAGGCTGGGGGTATGTGTGTCTCCATGTCAATGTGCGGATGTCCTTGGTTGGGGGCTGGGGTGTGGCTCAGGCAGGTGCAAGGCCCTGGGTTCAATCTCCAGCACTGAAACATCTCTGGGCTTTCATTTCTTTTTAATTTTAAAACTGCAAAGGACACAGACAGGGAACACAGGCTCTTCCAGATCCTTGCCCCCCTCCCCCCAGTCGAAAGAGGTCTTGAGGCCCAGGCCTGAGCATTACTCCTGCAGGCCTCAGCATGAGCTGCCCTATGCCTGCCATGAGGGCGACTGGCCTCCAGAGGCTTCTCCAGGACTCCATATCAGGATAGGGCCAGGCTTCCCACCCATTGTCTGACTCCAGAGACCTGCCTGTCCTGCCCTCTCAGACCTCACAGCTGGCTGGGACTGGTCCCCTGTAAATGAGGGGGGTGGGGCTGAGTTCCAATCTCAGGTTCCACTTTCCAGCCTCTCTGCAAACCTGCAAATGCAGCCAAATGAACACCCCAAAATACACATCCCCAGTACCATGCTTCCCAGAGACTGGGTCTGGGGTGAGTGTACAGCCAGGGCTCCTGGTCAGCGATACAGGCTCAGGAGCACCTTCCTGGCCACAGGCAGGCGCCTGAAATCCGTGCCCAGTGGGCCCTGGGCTTTCTCCATGGCTTCGCTGAGCACAGAGCAGGCCCCTGGGAGGAGCCCTGAGCTTTCTGCCTTGCGGGAATCCCGGGGGTGGCCAGCAGGACACCTGTGTGTTCGTGGGGAGCCCTGGCATGGGCAGGAACTGCACTGGAGTCCAGGGCCTCTGCCATCCCCTGCCGCTGACCTGGCCTTCCTTCTCTTTCAGACTCCATCCCTGCGGAGCAGCCCCGAGGGACACCCCTGCTCAGCAGCCTCTCCCAGACGCCACTCATCAGATGGCTCCTCACTCTCAGTGTCGTGGTGGCCACGGTTGCCATGGGGTTTTATGCCTTGTGAACCCAAGCATGCTGGCCCCTAGGGCCATGAACTGTCCAGCGAGGGCCTTCCTTCTGGAGAAGGGGAATATCTTGGGCATCGGAGGCTTCAGGGGCTCCAATCCTGTCCTCGTCCCTCCTCCCCTGGAGGCCTCTTCAGCGACTGAAAGCACACCCAGCGGCCTCACCTTCCAGACCTGGCCCCCCGGTTCCTGCAGGAGAACTGGCCACAAGTGGCCACTGTCGACCCTCCAGTGCCCTTGCTTCAGTGTCTGACAGTGGCCCAATCACTTTTCCGTGGGCCGAGGCAATTTTTATATCCATGTGCAGAGAGTTGTGTCGTGTCTGTGTTGGAGCCGGGCTGCTCACGTTCAGCCTGAGCTGTGGAATTTTGTTCTGTTGTTTTTATAACGGGGTTGGGGGGTGTTTGACAGCCCTGTGACCTTGGTCTCTGTAATAATAAATGACGCTGTCTGATGTTTCCACCAGGTGTTTTCCTGGGCTGCTGCCCTTTCCCCACTTCCTGAATGCCTGGCGGAGGGGCAGGGATGGGGTTGGCAGCCCTGGTTTGGGATGTTGGGCTTTGGCACCCCAGGTGAGCTTCAAGCACTTTGAATCACTGAGATGAGCCCTGAGGATGGGGTGGGAGTGAGCAGATCCCAGGGTGACATGTATTGTGGACAGTGACAGGGAATGGAGGGAGCTCCCTGGGCTCAAATGCAGTTACTTGGCCTCTCTGTCTCATGCATATGGGCCTACCTACCTCACCTGTCATGAAGCAACTGGGCTGCACACCAAACGCCAGCACCCTGAGCTCTTGTACAAGGAGAAAGGCTAGTGTACTGATTCTTGTATCCCAGGTCAGTGTAGGTGACCTCACCTGCCACCTTTTTTTTAAAATCACTTTTTAATTGTTGATAGAACTTTATTCATAGGGTGCTGAGAATCCAACCCAGTGCCTCCCACATGCTAGGCAAGTGTGGGGCCCCCCCAGCTATAAACCCAGCCCTCAAACAGTCAACCAGACTGAAGGTCAGGAAGGATTTCAACCAAGCCCTTCCACTAAAAGCTGTGACATACTAAACACTGAGAAATCGCAGACCCTCCACTGAAGGTGTGCAGGGCAGTGCAGAGGGCGAGGCTCTGGGGATCTGAGTACCTCCTGCTCCTGCGCTTGGTTCCCGCCCTGCCACTCAGTTGAATCTTGGCACAAATCACTTCAAATCTCTTAATAAACGTATGCCTCCCTCCTGTGGCGGGAGGGAGTATTCAGTGGAATTCAAACACCAGTCAGGGCAGCATTAGAAGCACCTGGAGCCAGGTGGGATGGCACACACCTGAATCCCCAGAGATGAGGCAGGAGGATTGCAGGCTCAAGATCAACCTCAGCAACTAGGTGAGGCCTTAAGCAATTTAGTGAGACCTTGCCTCCAAAAAAGGGGTGAAGGGGACCTTAACACAGCCCTGGTGGGTTCTTGATTTATGCTATGGGAAGGAATTTCAGGATGTGTCAATAGAGGCACAAGCCAAGCTATCAGCAAGGCAAGCAATGGGGCAGAGCAGCCTCCGAGGGAGGGAGCTGTGCTTTGGGATCCTGGGCTCTTTGAGGAATCTTGTTAATCTTAACCTGAGAAACATGGGGGCGGCATCTGCCTAAGGAGCCGATTCCTTTGATCTTGGAGCACAGAGCAGCTCACAGGTTTCTGATTCTTAGAACAAGCTGGCGTCATACAGTTAATAGATAGCATTTGCACTATACACATTTCAAGGTTTTTGAACATTGTTTCTCCAGGTTTCTATTAATTAGTCTAAAAATATGTTCTGTCCATTAACCAAACGTATAGGCACTATTTAACCAGGATTACAGCACTCAAGATTTATTGGACATCTTAAGAATTCAGGCCAACAGGAAAATAGGCCTGGCAGGTGGAGGTGGGGGCATCCATGGAGGTTTTGGACTTAAAGCTACAGCCCCCCCTTTTTTTTTTTTAAGAAAGAGAGATTTTTTTAATATTTACTTTTTTTAGTTTTCGGCGGACACATCTTTGTTTGTATGTGGTGCTGAGGATAGAACCCGGGCGCACGCATACCAAGCAAGCACACTACCGCTTGAGCCACATCCCCAGCCCACAGCCCCTCTTTTATAACCTTTTTTTCAGTTGTTGATGGACCTTTATTTTATATGTAGTACTGAGAATTGAACCCAGTGCCTCACACATGCCAGGCAAGCGCTCTATCGCAAAGCTACAGCCCCAACCCCTGCGACCCTCTTCCTTTCCGTTTGTCTTCTTTCTACCTATCCTACCCCGGTCTTGTAAAATTGCCCAGGATGGCCTCAAATTTGGGATCCTCCTGCCTCAACCTCCCAGTAGCTATGATTACAAGAGTGCACCACAGCACCCAGGTCTTCTGATTTTTTTAAAAAATTAATTTGGGGCTGGGTATGCGGCTCAAGCGGTAGCGCGCTCGCCTGGCATGCGTGCGGCCCGGGTTCGATCCTCAGCACCACATACCAACAAAGATGTTGTGTCCGCCGAGAACTAAAAAATAAATATTAAAAAATTCTCTCTCTCTCCTCTCTCTCTCTTTAAAAAAAAAATTAATTTGGTTATAATTGTACACGAGACCTTTATTTTATTTTTTTATGTGGTGCTAAGGATCAAACCCAGCTCCTTGCATGTGCTAGGTGAGCGCTCTACAGCTGAGTCATAAGCCCAGCCCAAATCTTGTGATTTTAAAAGAAATTGGGATAAAAATATTTCTGTGGGTCCCTAAGCATCCTGAGGACTGTGCTTGCCCAGTTTCTCAGCGCACAGCGGAAGCCCCTGCCTCCTACCGTCCTGCTTCACCCTCTCCTACCAGGTCTTAGCAGGTGGGGACTATGCACGCAGGCTTAGTCAAAAAAAATATTTTTTGGTATCGTCTAGGTCCACTTTGTGGTGCTGTAACAGAATACTTGACCCTGAGTAGTCTACAATGGTTGGAAATCTCTTTAGCTCTATGTCCTGGAGACTGGGAAGTTCGAGTGGAGGGGCCAGCAGGATCTGGCAAGGTCCTTCTTGCTACGACATCCCGTGGTGGAAGGAAGAAGGCGAGAGAATGAAGGAGACAGCAAGGGAGGACCCAACTTCCCTTTTGTTGGAAACCCACTCCAAAATAACACTTTAATCCATTCAGGAGGTCGGTGACCCCAATACCCAAACACCTCCGTTAGGCCCCACGTCCCAACACCACTGCACTGGGCATCTGCTCCGACGAGGAAACCTGGGGACACATTCCAACCACAGCAGATATTATGCCCCTTCTCAAATACGGGAAGCCGCTGAGCTCATTTTTATCGTCGTTTTATTTTTGCGGTACTCGGGATGGAACCAGGACCTCCCGCAGCTCCAACGCTGAGCACGTCCTTAGCTATTTTTTTTAGTTATTGCGGCACCAAAGGTTGAACCCAGGACCGCTTAACCTCTGAGCCACATGCTCAGCCACCCCCCCCTTTTTTTTTAATTTTAAAACTGGGTCTTTCTGAGTTGCTCAGGGACTCGCTCAGTGGCTGAGTGAGGCTGGCCTCGAATTTGCGACCCTCCTGCCTGGGCCTCCGGAGCCGCCTGGCTCTTGGTATACACTACCAGGCCACCCGACTTGAGGCGCTCAGTAAACACGTGTCCCGGCGAAGAGAAGCGGGTCCCCGGCGGGTTGCCCGGGCGGTGCCGGAGGACGCGGCCCAGGCCGGCCCTTTCCCCAAGGCTTTAGGCATCGCCAAAGGCTGTAAAATCCACCAATAGAGGGCAGAACCGCTCCTTAGGACCGGGCCTGCGAGATCGGTGGTCCTCCGCGGCTGGCGAAGGGACCGGGTCACCATCTGTGACTCACTGTCGCCTCTGGCTGTTGGGGTGCAGCGAGTGGCGTGGCACCCTGCCGTCCTTCTCGGGCCTGTCTCCCGTTACAAAACGGGGCAACGGGACCCTATCATTTCCGCCATTCTGTTTTTTTCTCCCCATGGCTTTGGATGGAGTCATTTTCTCTTGAGACCTTAAAAAGTCTTAAGAGAAGGGCACAGCAGCCCTCAGCCGGCGGCGCGCCCTCCCGCCATCTTCGGGCTGCTCCGCGTCCACCGCACCACTTCCTTCCAAGTCAGAAGTTTCGCGCCAAATTATTCCGCACACAAAATGGAGCCCGGAAAGAGGCGGGGTCATTACGTCACGAGAGCCACATCCAATCCGCTCCGGCAGCCGTCCCGAGAGGCGGGACTCCCGGGCTCAGAGCGGTCCAATCGCTGGCCGCGGGGCCCTGAAGAACCAATGGGAACGCACCGCCCGCGACGTACGAACGCAGCGTCTCGTTTTTCCCGCGAAACTCGGCGGCAGTGCGCGGGGTTCTGCGTGTGTCTCGGAGTGTGTGGTGCGGCGGTAAAGGTGAGGCTGTGGGGCTCGCGGAGGTCTGCGGAATGCTCAGGGGTTGGGCCGCAGCTTGCCTGGCGAGCGGTTCCGGGAGGGCAGCCGTGTCGGGGCCGCGACTTCCCCGGTTCCGGGCGGGCGACCCGGGCCTGGTAGGGGAGCGGCAGCCGCCCGCGCCCCCGGCCCGCTCCAGCTCTTGGTCCCCGTGCAGGTGCAGCCATGTCCGGCTTCGACGACCCTGGCATCTTCTACAGCGACAGCTTTGGGGGGGACCCCGGGGCCGACGAGGGGCAGGCCCGCAAGTCGCAGCTGCAGCGGCGCTTCAAGGAGTTCCTGCGGCAGTACCGGGTGGGCACCGACCGCACGGGCTTCACCTTCAAGTACAGGTGCGCGCGGCCGCGGCGCGGGGTCCAGCCCGCGGGGACGAGCGGGGCAAACAAACGGGTGACGGGTCCACGGCGCATCCTGCTCCCCTCAACCCCCGGTTTTGCTTGCTTTGTACCCAGAGTTAAGGTTGGAAGGAGTCGCCTGTCGCGTGGGCTGCCAGCAGCCCAGCTAGAGCAGGACCACTTCCTAGTTTGCGTCCTTGCACGTAGCGTCTGTGACAAGGTCCCTGCATTCTCAGTGGCACAAAAGTTGGGGATGGCAGGTGTGATTCACTTCCCTGCCCGTGCATTAGTCCTGGTTTTCATTGGCCCTGCTGCTCCTGGTCCACTGGGCAGCCGGCCACCGCAGGTGGAGCCCCTGCAGGCCTAGCCTCCCCCTCCCCCGGCACCCATGACTTTTGATGCCACAATGTGAATTCACAGTTCCAGCAATGTTAGCCCACTGCCTCCCCGGGGGCAGGCTCTCTGGGCCTCAGTTTCTTTATCAGAAGGATGGGTAGAGCCATTCCTGCCACCATCTGTTGGTGCAGCAGCTGGCATTGCCTATGTGCCAGGCACTGAGAAACCAACATGGAAAGACAAACTGCCTGTCATCAGGAAGCTCATAATCAGGGGAACAAGATGTGGGCACCAACGGATTCCAAGTGGTACTGCCTCAGTGGAGGGAGGTGGGGAAAGTTTCCAGAGGAGCTAGAGTTTAAGGTG